AGAGAGAGAGAGAGAGAGAGAGAGAGAGAGAGAGAGAGAGAGAGAGATAGACTCATAAAGTCTCTAGACATTATCTTATCCTATGACTCCTAAAGAAGAAGAAATCCAACCTGCTGATGAACATTTATTGATCTAAAATGAGGCAGTTCCACTTGAGGCATCAAGGAGCCTCAATTTTAGTAGACTTTGTGGAAGAAAGAAACTAGGTCAGTACTTCATCCCAGAAAAAGAAATCAAGAGTAGTGATACACCTAGAAAAGCAACATGAACTCAATGATCCCTTTAAAAGGAGCCACTGGACCTGGTGGGTGTTAGAAATGGCTAGTCTTAAATAAATAGTATCTGTAATAGTAACTTATGTATAGTAACTGAGTTAAGGTCACATATCATTTAATTATGCAAAGGATGGTTCATAAATCTAAAAGAAAAAATGAATTCATTGTGTTCTTACACAATAAAAATCTGTGTAGCATTAATACTAGTTTTTGCTGAATGTAGGACATAAAGCTATTTTTTTATTGATGTCTCATAAAGGCACCATGTGAAGTTTTAGGTTTCTTTTGATAATGTCTCCCTGAGTACCCCAGACTGACCTCAAACTTACAATCCTCCTACCTGACTCTTTTGAACATTAGACTAATGGGTTTATGCTACCAGACACCCAGCTTTCTCATTTTGAAATTCAAGAAAATGCTTGTTAGGTTAAGTACTTCGATTGGCTAGACCATTATATTGTATATACAGATTCAGCCAAGACTTCACTGATGTTCTGTATAGATTTGATATTTGAGACTAAAACAGCATGGGGTAGTGCTGTTCAAACACTTGACTGCTTAACTCCATGTGGCTTTCATAATTTTATGCCACATAACAATATATTCTTGTCCTTGGAAATTCCTAAAAAGGCTCTCATGGCCCCTACCATATCATGTCCTCCCTTGAGTGAGGAGGACTGGTTGTAGTGGTTTGCTGTTGGGAAATAGAGCAATGGGCTGCAAACCCCTACATGGTTTTCTAAAGATGACCACATCAGTGAGCTTGGAAATGGTACCACTTCCACTTCAGCCTTGAGGAGACTGTTGCCCATGCTGGGGGATTCTATTGCAGCCTATGATTGATTGCTGCTGAACCTCAGGGCCCAATGAAGCCATCTCTAGATTTTTTGAGATAGTCAGTTTTGGTGCAATTTTGGGTAACTTATTACAAATCAAAAGATAATTAATATATACACTAGGGTGACTCTACACTTAGATCTGTGACATCATAATAGGTCCTCAATTTCAGCAATATCCAACTATGAGGAAAAGGCTATTGAACCTAAATTCTAGTTCCTAGTGGGTAGAGAAGTACCTTGAGGTAGGGAGATGGTAGATGGCCATGGCATGCAGAAGTTGATGCTGTTGAGAAATCAAAGATAATTTATTTGTGGCTTGGGAACAGAAAGTTTATCATTTCTAGGAAAAAAAATGAAAACATTTCCAATGTTTTTAGTCCACTCAATGAATGAGCAGAAGCAAACACAAGGACAAGACATGCTGATAAACATCAGGTGGATTCTCCAGTCAGAAAAGGGCACTGAAAATAAAAATGTTCTAGTGGCCAGGTGGTGGTGGCGCACGCCTTTAATCCCAGCACTTGGGAGGCAGAGGCAGGCAGATCTCTGTGAGTTCTAGGCCAATATGGTCTACAGAGTAAATTCCAGAACACCCAGGGCTGCACAGAGAAACCCTGTCTTGAAAAATAACCAACATTCTAGTTGTAAGAGTCCCCAGGATAAAATGGTGACTATAGTATCAAATTAGAACAAACCATTTGGAGTATCGTCAAGAAAGACACTCTGGTGTCTTCCATCTCTTTCCTTTTTGCACATTTTATAAATAAAACTTCAGTGGCAGTGAAAACAGGCAATTATGGAACTTTATAACTTCACTTGAAGTTTACAGAAATGATTTGTTACACATTTCTAAAATCACATTCGTATTAGTGGCAAATGATCTGTGTAGACTAGGTTTGATAGTTCAAGGAATATACTAAAGGAAATTTCTAAGCCATCACTACATCCACCAGAACTTGTCACTCAAAAGTGTGGCCCACAGCTTTCATAGCTTTGGGATTTCAGGTGAAACAGAGACCAACCTTCTGGTTCCTCAGGTAAAGTTGCTTGACATAAGCCTAGTAAATTGAATTCCAGTCCCCCAGGGTTCCATATGGTAAAAGGAAAAAACTGACTTCCAGTGAAAACATACACATAGAACAATAAAATATAATGTGGCAAAATAATTTTAAAATAAAGAGGGAAGGAGAGAGAGATAGAGATAGAGATAGAGATAGATAGATAGAGAGAGAGAGAGAGAGAGAGAGAGAGAGAGAGAGAGAGAGAGAGAATAGCAGCTCCCTGAACAACTGGCTCCTCTTCCTGTTCAAGAACCAGGACAGGAACTTGACTTTCTCACCCTACAGGAATCTGTGTCTGGGACTTGCTGTTCTGAACTGCTTTCAGAACTTCATGCATGTGCTTCTGTTTAAAATTTGTTGATTGGCAAATGCTCAAGAGAGCAGACAATCTGGTTAATCCCTCATTTTCCTTCTATTGCACCAGAAATAATTTTCTGTACTTTATCAGACAAGTAGAGATAAGACCCAGCAGAAAAGAAGCAAGTAGAAGGCAAATTAGTAACAAGGTCAATATTCAGTCCATGTGTATCATAAGTCTGACCAGATGAGAAAGTGTTCACTTTCAAAAGCTTCGTTCCAATAAGCACATAAACATCACCTTGAGTCACCCAGATTCCCAGTAGTCTGCAGATTGAGTCAGCTCAAGAGTATTCTGTTCCTTGGTGTCCCACTCCCAATGTACCACTCTTGGTTAAAATTCATACTTAGGAATCAAATGACAAGGATTTGGACTGGCTCCATCCTTTATTCTTCTCATCATGAGTTCTTAGTTTCTTCACCCATATTACCTGAAGTTCAAAGTGTTTGTATTGTGTGCTGCACTGTGCTCAATAAATGCTCTGACTAGTTTAGGGCTTCTCACTAGCAAATAATGGATTCTCACATCCATCCCTTATCCTACCTTCTTCTATCTGCTAAGATACTTTCTTGTTCCCCTGA